GTCTAGGCCTATAGCAGCATAACTAAGGGATGGTTCAGGACTCACCTGAGCCAGCCCTAACTATAAGCTTTATCAAAGAGAAAAGTCTTAAGCCTACTCTTAAATGTGGAGATGGTGTCTGCCTCCTGAACCCAAACTGGAACCTGGTTCCACAGCAGAGGACCGTGATAGCTGAACGCTCTGGCTCCTAGTCAACTTTTGGAGACTCTAGGAACCACAAATAACCCTGCATTCTGGGAGCGCAGTGCTCTGGTGGGGTAGTAAGGTACTATGAGCTCTTTAAGATAAGATGGTGCCTGACCATTAAGAGCTTTGTAGGTAAGAAGAATGATTTTAAATTCTATTCTGGATTTTACTGTAAGCCAATGCAGAGAATCTAAAACAGGACAAATGTGATCTCTTTTTCTGGTTTCTGTCAGAACACGTGCTGCAGCATTCTGGATCAGCTGAATGGACTTTTTCGAGCAGCCTGATAATAGGGAATTGCAGTAATCCAGCCTCAAAGTAACAAATGCATGGACTAGTTTTTCTGCATCATTTTTAGGATGTCCCTGATTTTCGCAATATTACGTAGGTGAAAAAAGTCGGTCCTTAAAATTTGCTTAATGATAGACTTAAACGACATGTCCTGATCAAAGATAACTCCAATATTCCTCACGGTGGTGCCGGAGGCCAGGGCAATGCCATCAAGCGAACCCACATCTTCAGATAATGCGTCACGGAGGTGCTTGGGCCCCAGAACAATAATTTCAGTTTTATCTGAGTTTAACATTAGAAAATTACAGGTCATCCAGGTTTTAACATCCTGAAGGCACATTTGAAGTTTAGCTAACTGATGAGTTTCATCTGGCTTGATCGATAGATATAACTGAGTATCATCTGCATAACAATGAAAGTTTATGGAATATTTCCTGATAATATTGCCTAAAGGAAGCATATATAAAGTGAACAGGATTGGTCCGAGGACAGATCCTTGTGGAACTCCATGACTAACTTTGGCGTGCATGGAGGACTCATCGTTAATATATACAAACTGAAATCGGTCTGATAAATAGGACTTAAACCAGCTTAGAGCGGTTCCTTTAATGCCAATGAAATGTTCCAGTCTCTGTAATAGGATCTGATGGCCAATGGTATCAAATGCAGCACTAAGATCTAATAAAACCAGTACAGAGACAAGTCCTTTGTCTGATGCAATAAGGAGGTCGTTCACCAGTGCTGTCTCTGTGCTATGATGAGCTCTAAATCCTGACTGAAAATCCTCAAATAAACTATTGCTCTGTAGAAAGTCACACAGCTGTTTAAGAACTGCTTTCTCCAGGACCTTAGAGAGAAATGGAAGGTTAGATATAGGTCTATAGTTGGCTAAAACATCTGGATCAAGTTTGGGCTTTTTCAGAAGAGGTTTAATTACAGCTACTTTAAAGTACTATTTTCCTCTATTAATGACGAGTAGTACGCTGCTCTGGCATTACGGAGGACCTTCCTATTAGTTTTAAGACTATCTTGCCAAATTAAACGAGAATTTTCCAGTTTGGTGGAACGCCAATTCCTCTCAAGTTTCCGCGGTATTTGCTTTAATTTGCGAGTTTCAGTATTATACCATGGAGCTAACCGTCTTTGTTTTAGTATTTTCTTTTTTAGAGGGGCTACAGAGTCGAGTGTCATTCGCAGCGAGCCTGCAGCACTATCAACAAGATGATCGATTTGGGAGGGACTGAAATTAGCATAGGAGTCCTCCGTTACTTTGTGATCAGATAATGAATTTAGAGCTGATGGAATCGCATCCTTAAATTTAGCTACAGCACTATCAGACAGACATCTTGTATAGAAATTTTTGCCCAATGGCGTGTAGTTCAGCAATACAAACTCAAAAGTTATCAAACAGTGGTCGGATAAAGAGGGATTCTGTGGGAACACTATTAAGTGTTCAATTTCAATACGGTATACCAAAACAAGGTCGAGGGTGTGGTTAAAACAGTGAGTCTGTTCATGAACACTCTGAGAGAAGCCAATGGAATCTAAAAGAGAGATAAACGCAGTACTGAAGCTGTCATTCTCATTGTCCACATGAATATTAAAATCCCCTACAATAATAACTTTGTCCGTTTTAAGGACTAAAGTTGACAAAAACTCTGCAAATTCAGATAAGAATTCAGAGTACGGACCAGGTGCTTGGTACACTATAACAAAAAGAACTGGTTGCAGTGATTTCCAACTTGGGTGTAAAAGACTAAGAACAAGGCTTTCAAATGAGTTATAGTTTAGTTTAGGTTTAGAGCTGATTAGTAGGCTAGAGTCAAAGATAGCTGCAACTCCACCTCCTTGGCCTGTGCCTCAAGGAATTTGAGTATTAATATGACTGGGAGGGGTGGATTCATTTAGGCTAACATATTCTCCATCACCCAGCCAGGTTTCAGTAAGACAAAATAAATCAGACACCGTCACTATAGGGTTTTCACTAAGTAACTCCTGAAATGGAGGAGCAGAGAAGTGTGTTAGACTGCGACTCTGCGTAGGGTTTTCGGTGGGTAACTGCTGAATTAGAAGGGCAAAGAAGTGTGTTAGACTGCGACTCTGCCTCCTGGTCTCAACTCTGGGTTGTCATGGATTTGGTCCACTAATAAACTTGGCCAGATTTCTAGAAATGAGAGCTGCTCCTTCCCAAGGGGGATGGATGCTGTCTCCGAATCAGACCAGGTCTTCCCCAGAAAGTCTGCCAATGATCTACAAAGCCCACATCGTTTGCTGGACACCACCTCGACAACCAGCGGCGGAATGACGACATGAGGCTATACATGTCATCACTGGTCAGATTTGGTAGGGGTCCAGAGAAAACTATGGTGTCCGACATTGTTTTTGCATATGTACACACCGACTCAACATTAATCTTAGTGACCTCCAATTGCCGTAACCGGGAGTCATTACCGCCGACGTGAATAACAATCTTACTGTATTTATGTTTATCCTTAGCCAGCAGTTTCAAATAAGACTCAATGTCGCTCTGGCCCCAGGGATGCACTTAACTATGGCCGCTGGCTTCGCTAACTTCACTTTTCTCAAAATGGAGCTGGTTGATAGTGCCCCGTGGGCTTTGAATGCTTATGACTATTCCTCCTTCGGACAGTCACGCAGCCACCCGTTCCTGGCTGCACAGGGGATGCTGGGGGACGGCTACCAGAGGCTAACTCAGGCTGTTCCGCACCGACTACCGGGGACTGGCTAGCTACAGTAGCTAAAGACTGATCTACTAAGGTGCGGAGCCGGACTTCTAAATCAATGAGCCTCACCTCCATGTCTAAAAATAAACTACACTTATTACACGTACCATTACCGCTAAATGGAGGCAGAGGAGTAACTGAACATCTGACACACTGAGCAGGAGAAAGTAGGAGAGCGAGAGGGAGAAGGAGAAGCCATCGCTAGCTGCTGAGCTAATGTCACTAACGGCTATGCTAAAGTACTGTAGCGTTAGCTACCAACATTTTTGAACAACTATGAGATTAAACAGCAGTCACTAAAAGATGGAAAGAACTGTGAGTGCTTTTAGCGGACAGTTGGCCGCTGTAATCTAACAAATTTAACTGGTATTTTAGTGAGAGCAGCACAACACACTACCAACACACAAGCACCGGAAACGGAAATGCGTCAACACGCTTACCGCAGTACATCGGCAACGTCAACCATCCCATGGCAACCGGAAACTGATGTGGTAGAAAAAAGTGTACAAGCAATAGGGATAACCCCACCCTGGAGAGGATTGTGAAACAAAACCCATTGAAAAATGTGGACTGCAGCTGGAGTCAGTGCTTCAAGACGTATGCAAGACATGGGTTTCAACTGTGGCATTTCTTGTGTCAAGCTACTCTTGAACAAGACACAGCGTCAGAAGCGTCTCGTCTGGGCTAAAGACAAAAAGGACTGGACTGCTGCTGAGTGGTCCAAAGTTATGTTCTCTGAATTTTGCATTTCCTTTGGAAATAAAGGTCCCAGAGTCTGGAGGAAAAGAGGAGAGGCACAGAATTCACGTTGCTTGAAGTCCAGTGTAAAGTTTCCACAGTCAGTGATGGTTTGTTGTGACATGTCATCTGCTGGTGTTGGTCCACTGTGTTTTCTGAGGTCTAAGGTCAACGCAGCCGTCTACCAGGATGTTTTAGAGCATTTCATGCTTCCTGCTGCTGACCAACTTTATGGAGATACAGATTTCATTTTCCAACAGGACTTGGCACCTGCACACAGTGCCAAAGCTACCAGTACCTGGTTTAAGGACCATGGTATCCCTGTTCTTAATTGGCCAGCAAACTCGCCTGACCTTAACCCTATAGAAAATCTATGGGGTATTGTGAAGAGGAAGATGCGACCCAACAATGCAGAAGAGCTGAAGGCCACTATCAGAGCAACCTGGGCTCTCATAACACCTTAGCAGTGCCACAGACTGATCGACTCCTTGCCACGCCGCATTGCTGCAGTAATTCAAGCAAAAGGAGCCCCAACTAAGTATTGAGTGCTGTACATGCTCATACTTTTCAGTTGGCCAACATTTCTAAAAATCCCTTTTTTGTATTGGTCTTAAGTTATATTCTAATTTTCAGAGATACTGAATTTGGGATTTTCATTAGTTATCAGTTTTAATCATCACAATTAAATGAAATAAACATTTGAAATATATCTGTGTGTATAGTCTGTGTGTAATGAATGAATATAATATCCAAGTTTCACTTTTTGAATGTAATTACTGAAATAAATCAACCTTTTGATGATATTCTAATTATATGACCAGCACCTGTATGCTTGTTCCATGTGAGACATTTCCACTGATCAATCTACCAAACAGTGTCAAATCTTAAGGACAAAATACCACGGCTGCTCACACTTGTAAAGTAGTGAACTCCAGGTGAATGCAAGGTGCTCTTGAAGTCAAATTAGTCTAGTGTGGAAGTAAGTATAGAAAAAGGGAAGCACCTGAGCTTACTTAAGGCACACTCGCACCAAGCAAAGGATGTAGTTAAAATGCCTTTATTAGTTTAGGGCATCTCAAAGTAAAAAAAATTACAAAGAGGAGAATGTCAACCGGTTTCAAACCCACACTTAGTGGTCCACCTCTGGGCGTGGGTGGAAAGGGAGTCAACCAGAGTGGAAAGTTGTGAGTCATTATATAGCCAATTAGTGGCCAGGAGGCTAAATTACAGTACACCAGCATATCATAGTAAATATACCACAAGTAGGCTATTTATGAAAGAATAGTCACAGTAATAACTAACTATAACAATAAAAATTAAATAACCTAAATAACACCAAGACCAACTACAGGACTACACCAGTTTACTTAAAAAAGGTCTGAAATTTATTTCCTCATTAAGTACTGGGCTTCAAATTTTTAAATCCAGTAAGTCTGTCTCTGATGTTTTTTAAGATGATCTCCACAATCCTCACCAAACTAAATATCCCATGATTTTAAAAGGCTGTTGTTGCCATTATGACAATTATGGAAATGGAAATGAATCAGTTTTATTGGCCAGCAAATGCTCTCAATGTGCAAACACAGAAACAGGCATTCATACACCTAAGAAACAAAAGGTTGAGCTCGGCATGGTAAACATAAACATCAAACTACTACTTACAGACCACAATAACTGCATTACTACTGCTTAAGGCCAATTTATACTTCTGTGTTGAGTCTACGCCGTGAGCATTTATACAGTACTTGTGCGTTACGCTAGTAAACGCTATTTTGGCGGTGGGGTTTCTATGTTCCACTGTGTTCAGTTTCTTCTTTGTTGGTGTAGGAGCCATTTACATTGACTGTTGGCATGTCATATTTATTTTGTTTAGATATAGTTAGCATTAGCATTTCAGACACATGGTGGCAGTCATTAGACGTACAGGGTTGTATACAGAGGAGCATAGGTGACAGGAAATGGTAGGCACAGGTAGCACGAGCGCACACAGTTCTGGTATGTTCATCTCTTTGTACAGCTTCTTGCTACTGCAATAAACAACAAACTCAACCACAAATCTAATGTGTCTATATAAGTTTTCACTCCTGCCGGAGTAACTAGGCAAAAGGATATTGGAAAACTTGAAAATTGCCATTACGCTTGGTGTATGCTACTACAAACGATCCTGACTGAAACTGAGTGGATCATGTTGGAGTTGGAACTGATCAATGTTGAGCAACAGTTTAGTGAAATTACTAAAACGGAGACATGAGAGAAGGTGCTGGAGGAGTTGATATGCAAGACCCTTGAACCGGTCGAAGCAGAAGGAGGACAAGCTGGAAATATGTAGGAGGAAATGCGACGCTACCAAGCAGACCAATCACAGTTCTTGCGGTCTGTGTCACAGTGACAGGTGGTTACTTTTTTTGGGAGGTGGGCATCCTACAGCCTAGAAGTGGCCTTTAGGCTGTTTCACTAACAGCACCATTAAGTCTATCATCTACAGTTTGTGTTTGCGCATCACCTCTAAAAACAATGAAAATGATCAAGTTGAACCAATCACAAAATACATAATTTTATAAAATCAAATGACATGCTGCAGGCAAAAAAACACAATAGTTGGCATGATGACAACATGTGACTCAACACCACTAGAGAGAGGGTTTCTCAGCTTCAACATCATCAGAGTTCATAATCCACTCATATAACTGAGGTAGTCTAAAAAAATTGTATATATATATATATATATATATATATATATATATATTTTTTTTAAAGGTTTAGTGTGTAATATTTAGGAGGATCTATTGACAGAAATGCAATGTAAAATGTAAACAACTATTCTCAGTGGTGTTTAAAGACCTTACAAACTGTTATGTTTTTATTACCTTAGAATGAGTCATTTCTAAATAAAAATGTGTCCCCCCTACATGGATGTCACCACGTTGTGCAGTCATGTTTCTACAGTGGCGGACAAGTTGCTTTACAGAACGTGTTTCATCACTACATTGAATACATACAAAGAAGCAGTAGTAGTAGTAGCAGTAATCTGTTTTAAGAGTAAGAAGAAAAGTGGCATTTGGACAAATCACACGTAGTATTTAGCAGAGCCGACAGAGCGTGTTGACCACCATAGTTTCTTCTACGCGCTTCAAAGGGAGGGGTGGGCGGTGAGTGAGCCGTTGGTTGCAATTCATAACCTTCTCCACTAGATGCCACTAAAACTTACACACTGAACCTGTAACAGGTGAAACATTTGTAGGAACTATGAACTCACTGTGCAACAAAGATTTGAGAGAGTCTGATTGTTTAAAAGAAATACTGTTACTACAGAAACATAACTAATAGTCATGAAGTTAAAACAAGTTTAGTTCAAAAAATCTTGATATCATTGTTGTTATTCTGACAATTGAAAATTAACCACTAAAACTGAATGGTCTCAAAGATATTATGCAAATCCGACGTTACTTGTCTGTATGCAGTCTTATATGTCTTGCCAAATGAGACGCATCACAGAATCTTTTCCCGCATGTCTTGCAACAGTACGGCTTCTCACCAGTATGGGCTCTTCTCATGTGGACTGTTAAGTCACCATTAAGTCTGAATTCTCTCCCACATGTTTTGCAAGAATATGGCTTCTCACCTGTATGCATTGTCACATGTGTATTCAATCTTGACTTATACTTGAAAACTTTTCCACATATGTCACATTGGAAATAATGTTTATCTGTCTGAGTATTACGGTGTATGTAGTGTAAGTTAGGGTAGTACATATTGTGACTTCTGCTTTTATGATGGTAACTACTCGATTCTGGCTCTGCATCTATAGTTGATCCTGAGTCTTCATGCTTGCCTCTTGCCTGATCTTGGCTCTCAGCTACATGAGAGCTGTGAGAGAGGAGCAGGTGGTCTCTGTTTGGTTCTGGTTCTCTGTGGTCACTTTCCTCATGCTTCAGTACGTGCTGCTCTCCCTCCTGACTGCTGCAGGGTTCCTCCTGTTCCTCTTTAATATGTGGAGGCTCTGGGTCCTCCTGGTCCAGACTGGAGTTCCTCTCCTCAACACAGAGCTGCTGGTCTGCGAGAACCTCCTCGGTACAGACATGTTGCTGTGGGAGCTCTGGAGGGACCGAGAAAAAAAAAAGGGACACCACTGTGATGGTAAAGATAACATGAAGACATGCCAGCAAATTAGTATCAGTATTTTCAAACAATTTGGATAACATATAAATCGAATTATTGCGTTGTGTGTTATTAAGCTTCACACACCTGTCATGTGTAACTCCGGTTTCCAAACGGTATCCAGCAGTCTGCGCTGACGATCAATCACTTCTTCGTACTCGATGATAGTTTTCTTAAAAACTCCAAATATTTCTTCAGCAGCTGCAGTTAGTCGCTCGCTGACAAACTCTCTCAGGTACTCAACTGAAGACATTGTTGCTTAATTATAAATGAAATATGTAGCTGCGCTACGACTGCAATATCGCCTTCCAGCTTAATCAACATATGCACGAATGTAACGATACTAGTGCTCGAGTTGTTTACTTCCGCTGGATGTCACACTGTTAAGTTCCGACAGTGGAAGTGCGGGAGCCTTTTGTTCCGCTTTCAACGGATGTCAAAGTACAGCACATCTACCTCTGTTTGGTACTCTTTCCTACCAGTTGTAACTGACAGACGTGTTTGCCGTGTTGATACTTTGCAGATAATGATTTTGCACAAAAAACAAATGGTGGTTAAGTATAGGCCACACTTTCTGTGGCACGGGCACAGGTGTCATTTACAGAAACAAATGTGCATTGTCCAAAAAAAGTTGCTGATTACTGCATTATATTCTGTTATGTTTTTCTATTTATGAATTGTCACTTTACCAGCTTGCCACAACTTGTTTCTCTTTCATAAATGAAGACATTTCTACCTTAAGTTGGAGCAGAAAATCTCCAAAATGCAGGAAATGAAGTGTTTAATTCTAAAAATCTTCTCCCACTCATTCATTTCAGCATTTCTTATTTCTTCAAAATACTGTGAACCAGAACCAATCTTGTCTCATCTTGTTTTTGAGCATCGTCAGGTCTCATGACACAAGCGTATCATCATCACGCCCCTAATTTGAGCCCTTATGTCCCTACCACTTTTCAACACAATGTGACGCCCTTGGTCCCTGTACCACATGCTTCTGTAGTAAATTCCTGTGGTACTCGAGAGGTTTATATGGTGTTTTTGGTTGTTTACCACAGGATTGAGCTGTAGCTCCTGTGGAGAGAATACACCATTCCAGTAGCATCATCTCTGTAACTTAATGTAAAATGTCTTCCATAAATATGATATGTAAATATCTTTGGCCAGGAGGCTAAATTGGTAAATAAGTTTCCCTTCATATGACTGTATTACTTAAACTTCTACTAGCAACAGTATTTCTTTGAAACAATCACAATCTCCCAAATGCAGAAAATATGTTGGTTTCACAGTGAGTGTACAGTAATTTTTTGGCTAGTGGAAAACAACATGTTACTGCTTGGCCCTTTAAATGTATTTCAAGGGGTAAAAGGGACTGGGTTTGCTAATCTCTAAAATATAACCCTCATGAATGAAATCAAGTCATTTTGAGTCATAAATAACCTTTCAGTAATGAGGTCGGAGCAATCATTTTTTGGCAAGTGACAAGCTACATTCTACTTGTTATATTGGGCCTTTAAATGTATTTCAGTACTGGTTGGGTCATCATCTAGCAAATATAACCATCAAGAGTGAAATCAAGTATTTTTTTTATAATCAAGAAACAAGCTTTCAGTCACATGGTAGATACTACAATCACTTTTTGGCAATTAAAATACACTAATTTGCATGGTGCAGTGCTGAGGGTGAATTAAAAAATCTCACATCCTGGGAAAGAAGCTGCTCTGCAGTCTGGTGGTGCGACAGCAGATACTTCTGTATCTTTTGGCAGACAACCACAGGCTGAACAGGCTGTAGCTGGGTGGATACTGTCTTTTAGTATCCTCTGGGCTCTGCATAGGCACCTCACCTCACCGACATCACTGATGCTCAGGAGATGGGTATCGATGACCTTGTGAGCAGTTTTAATCACCTACTGCAGAGCCCTCCTGTCCTGGGCCATGAACATCCCATGCCAGTTTGTGATGTTTCCAACCATGACGCTTTCTAGTGCTTCTCTATAAAGTTGACAAGAATTTGGCACATCTTCCTAGAGACAGTGCTTTCTCTATACTGTATATGGTCCCTGAAAGTTTTAATGGCATCATGGGTAGGTGCTGTGTCAAATTAGTTATCACAGTAGAAGGTATAGGTTTAATCGTCACATTACAACGAGTTGTAAAATGAAATGTTTGTAATTTTTTTCCTGCTGCATAGCAGACAATATACAGTATACAAAAACAATCATAAAATGGTAAACAGAAATAAACTATATTTCATGTAGCAGTGTTGAGTATTAATTTGAGTTAGAGGACATTATGTGTCAACTGTAAAGTGTGTCAACTGAGTAGATCATCTGAGATAAAAAAAGGAGCCAACAGCCAGGGTCTTTTCTGTGTATAATGTGGATGTAGATTTAATGTTACTGAGCACTTCATAAGTATGTCAACGAGTTGGGGACTTATGTTGTGCTTCCCTTCGTCTCAGCAGTGTCCACTGTAGCTAAATGTGCACAAGCATCACTCTTTTTACAGGAACAGGTGGATTGGAACACAGTGATTTGATTTATCAATGCAGCTACCAGACCCTCTAGTTTCAAGATATTTCCATAGAAACACTAAATGAATACACTATCCTATCCTGTGTCTGTAAAAGAATCCGATTTGTATGTGTAAACATTTACAGTTTAAGGTAATTAACAAAGGTGGGTGTCTGTTAAACTGAGGTAAATTTATCCTCTTGCTGTTTTTGCAGTTTCAAGGAATATTTGATTATAAAATCACCAGATCCAATATATCACAACAGGCAAGTGCAAATGTACAAAAAGTTCTGAATACGAAATACGATTAGCCTACAACGTCACTCTATCTGAAAACTGTAAAAGTTGTTGAAAAACTGAGTCGGCGGACGATCACAGTGTGACACCCACCGGAAGAACGACACAAGCGCTAGTACAATTAGATGTGGTAGCGCTGCCGTTTCCCCCTTTGTAATTAAGCAAGAATGTCTTCGGTTGACTTTCTGAGAGAGTTTATCAGCGAGCGACTAACTGCAGCTGCTGAGGAAATATTCGGAGTTTTTAGAAAAACTGCCCTCGAGTACGAAGAAGAAATCGACCGTCAGCGCAGACTGCTGGATATCGTTTTGAAACCCGAAATACAGTTACACAGGACAGGTGTGTACATTTTCATTATATTAATAACACAAAACAGAGGAATTAGATTTATATATATAATGCCAATCGTTAAAATATAGATAGGAACTAATTTGCTCGCATGTCTGCATTTTTTCTTTACCATGACAGTAGTAGGCCTACTCTGTCTTTTTGTTCTCTGGCCCTCCAGAGCTCCCACAGCAACATGTCTATACAGAGGAGGAGGTTCTCGCAGACCAGCAGCTCTGTGTTCAGGAGAGGAACTCCAGTCTGGACCAGGAGGACCCAGAGCCTCCACAGATTAAAGAGGAACAGGAGGAACTCTGCAGCAGTCAGGAGGGAGAGCAGCTGGTACTGAAGCAGGAGACCGATGCCTTTATGTGGATTCCTGCTTATGAGGAAAGTGACGACAGTGAACCAGAACCAAACAGAGACCACCAGCTCCTCTCTCACAGCTCTCATGTAGCTGAGAGCCAAGATCAGGGAAGAGGCAAGAATGAAGACTCAACTAGAGATGCAGATTCAGAACCACAGAAGAGATGTAACAAAAGCCGGAGTCACAGAAAACAATCTACGATGTTAAAAAATCACCATGATACTCACACAGATATGGTTAAGTATAAGTCAACATTGCAGAGACAAGTGGAAAGGCACAAAAACTCATATGTTTGCGAGATCTGCGGAGAAGGCTTCATGTACATGTCGGGGCTGAAATCTCATGTAACAATCCACACAGGTGAGAAACCGTATGCTTGCAAAACATGTGGGAAAGGTTTCAGAGCCAAAAGTGTCATGAAAATCCACATGCGAACTCACACAGGTGAGAAGCCATACCTTTGCACGACCTGCGGGAAAAGATTCATTGACAATTCATCGTTGACAAAGCATATGAGAATCCACACAGGTGAGAAGCCCCATACTTGCAAAACATGTCAGAGAGCTTTCAGTCGTAGTGGTCAGTTGAAAGCCCATATGACAATCCACACAGGTGAGAAGCCGTTCCTTTGCATGATCTGCGGGAAAACATTCTGTGCCATGTCGGGACTGAAATCTCATGTAACAGTCCACACAGGTGAGAGGCCATATGCTTGCAAAATATGTGGGACAGATTTCACGCGAAGTAGTGCCTTGAAAGTCCACATGAGAACCCACACAGGCGAGAAGCCGTACCTTTGCAAGGTCTGCGGGAAAAGGTTCTGTGCCATGTCAGCCTGGAAAAGGCACATGGGAATCCACACAGGTGAGAAGCCATATTCTTGCCAAACATGTGGGAAGAGATTCTGTCGGACATCAGAACTGAAATCTCATGTGACAGTCCACACAGGTGAGAGGCCATATTCTTGTGAAACATGTGGGAAAGATTTCAGACTCAGCAGTGGCTTGTTGGTCCACATAAGAAGGGCCCACACTGATGAGAAGCCATAGCACTCCAACAAACAATTCTGCAGAGGGTGTGATTTGGCAAGGCAGTAGCCTTCTATTTGAAAAATATGTGGGAGACCAGTCAGTTCTAGTGGTTTGTAGTCAAAAAGCACACAAGAACTGAAAAGTGAGGAGCCAATTAACTGCAGCAAATCAGACTTCAACAAAACCTGAAGATCCACAGAAGAAACTATCGAGCTGAAACTCCAGCGGAGATGTGTTCAAAATGCTTCCATGAAAATATCTCAGTATATGATTTTCTTTCATATTCTATTTCTGTAAAGCATTTATTTGAAACAATTATAACCTCCCAAATGGAGGAAAATGTTAGTTTTACAGTGAGTGCACAGTAGTGGCTGTTAATTTATTGCTGTGATCTTGATGGCTGTTTGTGTTGCCAAATGTCTACTGAAGCATCTTGGAATCACTTTTAGTTTAAAGTTGAACACAAACTTAAAATCCATTTATCTAACAGAGTATTTAATAGTACTATATGAAGCCTCCTGCAGATCTCTGCAGTGAGAACATGCTATATTTATACACTCCGAGTTTATGTGTGATGGAATTCTAGCTGCATGTTTGGTTTATAAATTAAACATGTTTAATTGATTATCAAAATAGTTATGTGTAATGCCAATTGATTTGAAAGAATAAAAGGTCAATATTTATAGGTGGAATAAACTACCTCATTTCCACTTTCAGACCACAGTATGGCAAGGCAAGATTATTTGAATAGCGCATTTCAACAGCAAGACTTTACATAGTGCTTTACATACAACATTAAAGCATTATAGGGAAATAAAAAAATAAAAATTTTAAACAGAAAAATAGAAATAAACACAAAAGTACAAATAAAATAGAATGTTCAAAGTAGAAGTGATGGTGCAATATATTATGAAACCATTTTTAATTTCTCCAAACACTCAAAAAAAAGCAAAACTGTTATTACAGAAAAAAAATGCGTGCAAATGTCTATGAATTGCCTGTCACCCATGTCTGTCATTAAAAGCACTTAACTGTCACTTCTGTGTGTTCTTGTCTTTGTCGAGTCTGTGATTACAAGTGGGGTCTCCAGAATAGAAATCTGCTTACTTTCCTAAACAACTACCATACCCTGTCAAAAATGTAAAAACAGAGCTTGTACAATAAGATGCTTTGTATCCAAGGATGCAAAAAAGGTTAAATTGAATGATATATAAGCAAATTATTCCCAATTTTTTCCCCCCATTTCTCATTTTTCTCCTTAATTTAGTCAAAAAGTGAAACTTTTATATATTCTAGATTCATTACATAAAGTGAAAAATTTTAGGCCTTTTTGTTTTAATCTTGATGTTCACAGCTTACAGCTCATGGAAATCATCATAGAAATGTTGACCTGAGAAGAGCCTTTAATCTCTCAGTCTGGTTTAGTACACACAAACACAATCATGGGGAAAACTTCTGACTTGACAGATTTCCAGAGGACACTCACTGACGCCCTCCACAAGGAGCGTAAGCCGCAGCAGGTCATTGCTGAAAGGGCTGGCTATTCGCAGAATGCTGGATCAAAGCATATTTATGGAAAGTTGTCAGGAAGGTTGAAAAAGGTGCACAAGCAACAGGGGTGACTGCAGCCTTAAGAGGAAAGCCAAGCAAAGCCGATTCAAAAACTTGGGGGAACTTCAAGGAGTGACACAGACGTGTCCAGGAAATGATCTACAAGTGTCACAATAGTGTCAGTCACTCCTGAGACAATGTCAGAAGTTTCTTACCCGGGCTAAGGAGAAAAAGAACTGGACTGCTCAGTGGTCCAAAGTCCTCTTTTTAGATGAGAGTAAATTCTGCACATCATTTGGAAATCAAGGTCCCAGATTCTGGAGGATGAGTGGAGAAGCACAGAATCCAAGTTGCTTAAAGTCCAGTGTTAAGTTTCCACTGATGATTTGGGGCACCATGTCATCTACTGGTGTGGTCCATTGTGTTTTATCAAGTCCAGAGTCAATACAGCCATCTACTAGGAGATTTCAGAGCACTTCATGCTTTCTGCTGACAAGCTTTATGGAGATGCTGATTTCTTTACAACAGAGCTAGTGGCGATTCTTTGGGCTCTGTGGTGGTGAGAATAAGTGAAGTTCTCATTTGCTCTGATTCTGCAGCTGCTCTGAGGGGCTTAAGAGGAGGTAAAGCAAAAGCCTGTCCTGATATCATTAATGAAATTCTAGCTTATTTAGAATTACAGCGACTGGTTGCAATGTCAAGTTCTACTGGGTTCCTGGTCATGCTGGAGTGGAAATGACTAGCATACTGTATAACAAAATCAATCCTAAAGAAGGAAGAGACATATAAACATCACTGGGAAGGGTTTAACTTAATACTATAATTACAATACTAATATATAATACTATATATATAATAATATAATTATAATACTATAATTCTTTGCAATCACAGGTTAAAAAAGCCAGGTATTGTTATGGATCGAGAAGAGATTCTGATCAAATCTCTAGGCGTAAACATAAAATGTAAGTAAATGTTAGCTAAGCTTTCCTATATTTCTGTCTCGTTGCTGCAGAAATGTAGGACATTTGCCATCTTTCTGTTTTGAATGTGGTTTTAACAATTTTGGTTTCACAGTTTGTTAGCATTTGAAAAAAGTGCTGCAGATAGTGTTTTGCATGTGTTGAAGTAGATAAGAGAAAATAGTTCATTGATTTTGGAGAAAGTGGTCACTGAATACATTTTGTGTGAAAGCAATGAAAAACGATTCAGTTTGGTCCACATACACTGTTTCGCTGACTGTGTGAAGAGTTTTGACAATGTGACTTCAGATTTGACCACGCATGTTAGAAATTGAAAAAAAAACTGTAAAGTTACTTCTGGAGGAGGGCAGTAAATATGGCTAAACTGCCATAGTTCCACAAGAGGAAGAATAACTGTCGGAACTAAAGAGTGTGACACTCACCGGAAGTAAACAACACAAGTCATGTGCTGTATGAACTTAGTGTATGGCAGAGAGGTATTTCATACGTAATCAAGCAACAATGTCTTCAGTTGAGTATCTGAGAGAGTTTTTCAATGAGCGACTAACTGCTGCTGCTGAAGAAATATTTGGAGTTTTTAGAAAAACAGTCGTCCAGTACGAGGAAGAGCTCGATCGTCAGCGCAGACTGCCGGATATCGTTTGGAAACCTGAAATAAAGTTACACAGTTGTGTAAAACAGGTGTGTAATTACTTTAATTTAAAATATATAACGTTATCCCTTGCTTCTGCTTTCGCCCCATGGAACCGCGGTGAAGTTAATTTTAAGTTCGACAGATATTCACTCAGGGTCCAGTGGTGCCTTCTCAGTTTCACACCCAGTGTAGCTCACCTCTTCAGCCACTGTTTGCTTGGTGACCATCATTAAATTATTGTTATTTTGTGTTATGGAAAAATCATTATTTTCATTCAGTGATTCAGAGACTCCAAACCTGGGCATAAATACTATTATAAATAAAGCACTGTGGTGCTAGAGAGATTGACAATGTGACTTCTCATGTAGCTGAGAGCCAAGATCAGACAGGAGGCAAGCATGAGGACTCAGTATCAACTAGAGATGCAGAACCACAGACGAGACGTAACAAAAGCAGAGGTCACAGAAACAATGCATACAACTCTACCAGGTCAGACTTTAATAGCTATACTCACAAAGGTAAAAAGTTTTTCCCATGTGATACTTGTGGGAAAACATTCAAGTTTAGGTCCCATCTTATTGTACACTTGAGAACACACACAGGTCAGGGGCCATGTTCTTGCAAAACATGTGGGAGGTCTTTTAGTCGTATTGGTCACTGGACAATCCACCTGAGAAGAGCCCACACAGGTGAGAAGCCGTACCTTTGCAACAGAAAAGATTCTATGACATCTCAGCATTGACACAGCATATGAGAATCCACGCAGGTTAGAAGCCATATTCTTGCAAAACGTGGGAGAACTTTCAGTCGTATGGGTCACTTGACATTCCACATGAGAAGAACCCACACTGATGAGAAGCCGTGCCTTTGCAGAACCTGAGGAAAAAGATTCTTTGATTTTTCTAATTTGGCAAAACATATCAGATAAACTGCCCCCACTGTTAAAAAATTGCAGAGTAAACTGTACATCCTGTACGTAAACATCTCCACAGGATTTTCAGCTTGATGGTTTCTGCAATGTATGACTGTGTTATTTATATTTCTTTTAGCAACCGTATTTCTTTGAAACAATCAGAATCTCCCGACTTGAAAAAATGTGTTAGAGAGCACAGTAGTAGCTGTTAAGTAGCTGTGTGCTGTTAATGTTTATTGGTTTTGTCAAATGTCTGTTCTTGAAGCATTTCAGAGTCATTGCAGTTTAAAGTTCAACAAGGATTTTAAATCTATGTATTTTAGGTAGTATTTCATAGTTCTATGTGAAGCGTCATACACACCTTTGCAAGAAATCACGTTTTTATCTTCGAGGGTTACTGTTGCGATCAGAAAGGAGGCACGCATGAAGACCCAGGATCAACTAGAAGTGCAGAGCCATCACAAAGCTGCAAAAAAAAGCGGTAACTTGACAGTCCACATGAGAAGACCCCACACTGGTGAGAAGCTGTGCCTTTGCAAGTTCTGTGGAAAAAGACTGTCTGACATATCAGTATTAAAAAGGCATATGAGATCGCATACAGCCAAGTAGCCCTGTATTTAAAAAATATGTAGGAGATGATTCAGTTCTAGTGGTTTATGGTCAAAGCACACACAATATTATATAATATTATTATTATTATTATTATTGACTGGACCAAAATAGTCAAACATAGACACACAAAATGTGTGATACAAAATCGAGGCGCTAACTTTAAATACAGTGATTTTGACATTCTTCACTTAGACGGTATATTAACAGTTGCCAAAATATATTTGGCGACCCATTTTAGCATTTTGCAGAGAAACAAAGAGAGAGATGTTATCTGGTATTAGGTTACAAGACGTGGACACTGTGAATTTTACATTATTGAGCGACAGTGAACACGCCACTGCAGATGTCACTCAGTACCACGCTGCTTTCGATCCACATGCGGTGCACTTGAAAACAATAGTTAAATATTGTAAATTGTAAAATACTCTGAGTATGGGCGCAGCCCTCTAAGGCCATCGCTATTGGGTTAAGAGGCGAAGCAGGATGAGTCAATGCCTCACTGGCCAATGCGGTACCACCAAGTACAGACCCACCTGCCCAGAGGCAACATAATAAGCCACCCGATCCCCCGCAGCCTGTGGCATTGGTGTCACTGTGCGAGCAATCGGCAATAGTGCAACATCGGAAGGCAGAGAACCGACCCATGCTTAAAAGGCCGGGCCTCGTTCAAATGCAGCCTTCTTTTCCTCCGTTTGGAGGATGGGGGTTCCCGCAGCTGTGCAGGTGCAGACGAGGTCACGACAGCAACCGCATCAGCTGTGCACAGAGCAGGGCCAACGTGATCAGCGGCCGCTCCCCACTGTCCGGATGGGAGAAAAGCACCGCGCACTCACAGAGGACAATCACTCAGACAAAACGCTCAGTACTGAGTGAGTCAATGAGAAGCGGGAGACATCCCGCAGGTAGAAACGGACGAAAGAGAACGGGGAAGACCAGGAGGCCGCCATGCAGATGTCATCCACCTACATTCCACTGTGCAACGCCACAGAGGAGGAGACGACTCTCGTGGATTGCGCCCTGATGCCGTCCAGGGGAGATACACTGGCTGACACATAGGCCTATGATCTAGCCTCACACAGCCGGGGAGACAGGCGCTGCACCGACAGGGGAAGCCCCTTGGACTGTTCCCTGTAGTGCGCTGTGAACGGCACCTGACAGCTGTGTGCGCTACGTAGCAGGACAGCACGCACATCGGGCAAAGGAGGTGAGATGTAGCTTCATCCTCAGAACCCTTGGGGGGGAGGAAAGAAGCCCGAGAGGGTAATCACTCGTGATCGGTGCAAGACAGTAGAGCTACCGTCACCCTGTATCCAGGGACACGAGCAGCCAGATCGCTGAGCCTCT